CTGATACATTCGATATTCTAAGCTTGATCGAGGGAGACAATGTCCTTTCAGCTGTTTCTATTCGGAAAGTGGGTAAACCGTCTGTAAGGGTCAAAACAAATATAAACGACCTGATAAATTGTCTCAGGAATTGCAGACAAAGATCAAGTCCGCTAAAAATGCCTTTAAAGCACTCATTTCAAACGCGTTGGTTCAACTTCAAGTGGGTAGTAATCACAAATTCTATCTACACGCCTCAACGGAAATGCCCATAGGTCCTTCTTTATTGCCTAATGCATTAAAGTGGCTTGCACGTTACCACAAGGATTCGAACAAATAGAAATTCGGAGGGAGGGGGGTTAGGCCTACCTGAATAATTTCACGATGAGCGAAATCGGTAGTAGGCAATCCAGAGCTTTCATCCAGCTTATAAGCAGTATTGAATATGGTTGGTTATTTCATCTGACCACTTCACCAAAATCTTTCGACCAACACGCCAAGCCAGACAAATCCCACCAAAGTGAGTCTGCTGCTTCTTGCTTTGGTGTGGACTATGAATTAAACTAATCCTGGAACTACCTACAACTAATCGAAAGCCGTCAAGAAGATTTCAGGCGCGCGCAGAGCCACCTGACTGGGTAGGCCTGACAGGCGTGTCAATTGACCGACCATAAAAGTACTGGGACGTCGTTCGATGCATCGGACAAGCGAATCACATCGCCGAAGCGTCAATACATTAGCCTGTTCAGACGCAATAATTGAAGCGTGCCTAGGATACCTTGATGGAGGAGTGGCGACCCACTTGACCCGCGTGCCTCATATAGTCCTTAATGGTTCAGTTTTGGACAGAGCCGAAGACAGCGAGTCCATGGCTATGAGTGACTTAGTAAAGTAGTATGCACGAATAAACTGAAATCTTGAATTTAAATAGATAATAAATGGACACTTTTGAAGCGTAGCTAACCAACACAACGGAACGCGTCTGGGACCATCGTTATAGGGTTCAAAGAGAACAGTCTTCACACTAGGTGACTTATATCGATACTCAGCTTGATAACTCAACTGGCGGATTGCAGGTAGGTGGCACGACGGTAAAGCATGCAATGTACTAGACTTAATTTCAACCCAAGCGAATGACGAATCTGGTTTGGTACTTTTACAGCACGTTGGTTAAAAATAAAGTTCACGTGGCCTGCCCGGTTCGTCTGCAACTTTTGGCGAAAAGTCCCTTAAGTATGCAAACAGGTGTTCAGGCTGTCAGAAGAAGTTGCAGGCAAGTTTAATGGGTCTGCCTTTTTTGAAGAATGATGTGCTTCAATCATAGGAGTGCGCTTATTATCTGTCAGACAAACACACTGAATTAGGCTGCTACGTTTGAAGAAAAATAAATATTCTGGACATTCATTTCTTGGATTTGTGCCAGAGATTCTGGCGCCAGTATTCATTGTGAACTCCCAAATTTAGCTAGGCAGGGACTGGGATGTTGAAAACTTCCATCAGATCAGTACATAATGGAACTGCTTAAACTTACTTGATCCAAATATTTGGTTTTACGTATTTCGCTTGCAATTTGTTCTCAAACTGTTGCAGTGATTCCAACTTAAATTTGGTATTCATCACCGGACCAAGACAGCAGCGCTGGATATCCAGTCCAAGTGGGAGACCCCAATCATCCAATTCCTTCTCCAACAAGGGGCCACATATTCCACAGGGCAAATGCACTTCTCCATGTCGTAGGTAGTTGTGAATAAAACGGAACACTTCGGGATCTCGTTCAACAAAATATTCTCTTTGATCCGGTAACCAGATTGCATCTTCCATAAACTTGCTATAAACATATGGGTCTCGTTGGAGTGTAGTACTCAGCACATGGAATTGGACACCGCTTACGTTGATACGTACAATTACCGGTTCATCCGGTGGTAGAATACACAGACACCGGATAAGGTCACTGTTCATGAATGTGACCGATCTTTCATCACTACCCAGTTTGCTTGGCCACGAGTCATTTTGATTCAATGAATCTGAGTCGCTTTCTCGAGTTTCCACGAACGTCTGACGAGTTTTATTCGAACCGTTCTGCATCGTTGATGACTCTTCAGCTGAATCCACGATTTTCGCACTGCAACCATTTGGATGTCCAATGAAGAATCTGCCATGGTACCCTCCTGTTACCGGTTGCGTTGGATTTTGATGGCTAGCACAACTATGCGGACGTGGATGTTGTTTCAGCTTTGATTGAGCTGAAGAAACCAAATAGTGAACTGGGTGCCACACACCATAACGCCTCCGCCTTTCAAGATGGTAGCCGTTTGACCGTCCGTTAGTACTAGGCTGTGAAATGAACGCATTAGATAGGGAACGAAGCAGTCGTTTAGGATGAAAATTTGAGGACCGTCGACGCAAATCTCGATATTGAGGTTGGGACTTGTCAGATGTAACTGTGCCGGAATGAGGTGTCTCTAAGTTTGGGTTTTTGGCGCGCCATCTGGTATCAATCGTTTGATCGTCCATGGGCGCTTGAGAGATGGAGATACTCGCAGGTTCCGGAGAATCCGTCATCTACTTGTCAATTTTGTTCACTACTTCAAGGCCTTGAACTTCGGCTGTGCAATGCAGGTTATACACTGAAGGTGTGATGTTCTCGGCTTGATCAAAGTTAGAAACAATCGCGTGAAAACGCCAGTATCACTGACTGTCAAGCCATGAGCAAAGGAACCACTTAGAAGTGCGCTTGTGTGTGCCTAAATAGTTGAGTACCATGGACTTGGTGACACGCACGACCTGGCATTATTAAACACACACAACATGTGTGCACAAGTTCCGCTGAGAACGCATTTGATTACTGTGCAAAATCGAAATTGTGGTAAATCGTTTTGCTAAAAGACCTCAACCAATAGGAACGGAGCTGCCGGAAACTTTCTTGCGCGCATTTGCGTACGCGCCTTTTCCTTTTGTTTTTAGCAATCACCAGATTCCTTAGGGTAGTGTCATCATTTTTGGTCGGGAAAAGTTCTCCAATTACGCGTCGAAAGGCGTTCACGCATTTGGCACTTGGTGTTTCTTGAATGGCCTTTACACCAGAGCTTGTGCAATGTTCTTTTACAGGCGTATCCACTGATCCTCGCGTCAAAATGGTTCCCAGAAGAGACCATCCTCCGAAGAAGACCACTGCCTTAAATTGTCTGTGGGACCACTTCCAATGAAGGACGATCTCTCATAGAAGCCCTTTGTCTAACCACGGATGGGTGGTCAAGTACTGTCTTTGAGAAGTCACTGATATTCGTAGATAAGCTACTTATTTCAGGCCGTGCGTTCCATTTGTATTGTCAACTGAATACATTTATCGCACCAGCACTGATCAAAACATGAGCCTCGAATGACAGTGCTCTGAATCAACGCCGTATCATTTTGTCTTCGCCAGCAAGCTTCCACACACCAGACGCATCGGCGGTTTTTTCGATCGAGGAGGCACTATGAAGCATAGATCGCCCGTCTCTATGATCCGGTTTTGATTCGCACAAGATCCTTCAAGTTGACTGTTGCCCTTTAACCTAATGCTATTTGTACCTGCTGTTTTATAAATATGAAGTGCAACGTGGCTTTAAAAACATGATTTGTTTGACCCGTATTCCAGTAAGCAAAAAAATAGATGAAAGTGTAAGCTCCAACATCAAGTGATTGCGATAGCAGTCAGCTGCTCCAGCAGTGATCGGAGGTGAGTGGAATCAGAAGAACTGCAAACGACATTTTTGGTCCCCTCTTGCGACATATCACGAAGCGATTTGAATCTCCTGAAAGCGAAATAACCAGATTCCCCGAATTCTATCATTGAACGTTATCACGTTATCAGTTGATTTGCATCGGTCCACGAAAATAGAGTTATATGGTTTAATCGAGCCACGTGGAACCTTATGAGACCATAGAACCTTTGATTCTCTGTGAATATAATGAATATAGAACTAAGCTATACGGGTGATCTTGATGAGCGTATTCACTGCATAGCCAAAGTGCTCAAAAGCGATGATTTTGGCCTACACTCTACTACACTGGTGGGTACACAATAGTGGCTTGGACCTCTTCAACATATACTTGGTCGCCTACTCGCTTTACCTCTAGAAAACAACAAGACTTGTCAACCTTTTTTGGACTGACTGCGATCAATTCCAACCCATAACTTTTCTAGAAAAAAAACAGGTGTCTCTAATTGGTTGGTTTCAAGCGCACATAAATGTAATTTCACACGTAACCACTTTCGACAGGTACGGTGATGTAATCGCTGATTTCTAAGTCAGCGCTTTTGAATTCTTCAACACAGGATATTAAAAACACCTGAGCAGTAGTAGGCCTACTTTGACAAGTTCCAAAAGATTTTCAGACCCACTGTTGTATTACATTCCTAGTGTAACAAAGCATGAAAATTTACCATGCAATTCTCTCGAAATTAGCCTTTAATATAAAGCAACCATTTCCTGAATCAGAATAGATGACTTGACCGTTACCGACTGATAAGGATTCCTCATCTTGCTCACTGTTACTAACAGTCTCTTACCTTCAGCTGTGAGGGTGATAAGTGGGCTGCAGCTGACCTACCATGGGCCAAAATACCCGATTTTTCTGGCATATTTTGAACGCATCAGTCGGCATCCTTAAAGGAACGTGTATTACAAACTATACTCGACTTGTTCGCCCCAGTTACGAAAACGGTGGAGATAGATCGTGTATTTGTGGAGGAAATAACACAATTACCCGTAGTTTTTTTCTACTGTTCTGACGAGTGGGGACAAGTGAAGTTACCCATCTGCTTAGGGATGGCTATCATTTTGTTTTAAAAATAAGCCGCACTAAATGTTTGCATTGCGGGCAGGGGGTACTAAAGCACCATTCTTAGAAGTAGTGTAATCCGAGGAAGTTTCTGTCCCTGATGTCGCCCAACTAGTACAAAATAACTCACGTTTGTTTAATAGAGCCAATCATCCTCAACCTTATTCTCTGGTGCTTTGATTTATTTAGAATGTCAGTTAGTGGCAACCTATTTGCTTTCAAAACATTGGCAGTTCTCCAAGCCTCAGTGCACTGTCAGATCTTTGGGCGATTTCGCAGTTTACTGCAAGATCTTTGAAAATAACCTCATGAGAATTGAACCAGTTTTCCCAGATTTTTAGCACATTTATCTCCATTGGAGTTCTATGTACATTTTCGGGTACCGATTCTCCAATGATCTTCCCAGAGAGTCTTTTTAACATCCCTATGTAGATTCTTGAAGGAACTTTGGCACATTTTCCAATCATGCGCTTATACTTAGACTACATGACAATAATAATAAATAATGCTTGATTGATAGAAAAAATTCAAGCTCAGGCCGTTACAACCTGCATGTCCTTGTGCGCGTATCGATCCACGGCACGACAATGTCGTAGGCATATATTTCGAAAACTGCGTGTACCACTGCTGTTTTTTGTGTGCACAGGTTCATTCAGTTCGTTGTCAGGACCTAATAACAGCCCTCTGAATGTCTCGTTTTTCGTTCAACGCTGGTGATCACTTTGAAAAGAGGATTACTGCGGTTAGAAAAGGGAAAACGATAGGTGACCTACGGTCAAGATAACCCTAACCCTTCAGATTGAGTGTTTTGCCCCTGGAGCCTCGTCAAAGCAGCATGTCTGAAATAGAAAACCATACCGCCATCTCCTCGGAACGTTTTCGACAGACTTATAAACTCCATTGAACTGAGTTCAAACCCGTAGCTCAGCATAGCATCTTAAAATGATCTGTGACAATTCTACAAAGATTCCTCTCTTTCAGAAACGCCGTTGTATTCGGACAAAGTGTACAATCCATTGTATGGTCTGACTTTTACTGAAGTGTAAGCTTTAATATTAGGTGGCGTTACTGGTGAAAAATTTTTTGCGGTGTCTTTTTATATTTCCAACTTCATCGAACAACTCTGCTTCTTTTATCACTTGTCGTCCATCTTGCAAACGACTCCTCTCTGAGTAGAACATTATAAAAAAGAGAAACTGTACAATTACATCACATAGGAGCCATGTATTTTATAGCCTTGGAATGTGACATTCGGACAGATAACGTTTAGCAGTACGATCGGAAAAAACAGGTGCACTCGAACCTACAATCATCAACCTGAACGAAATAATTTTCCATATGTCCACCGGGGTGTTTACTGATTCATGACACTCAACCATAGGTTTTCTCATCAAAACAGCAAACTGCTAGAGAAGTTGCATCTCGTGGGGTATTACGGATTTCGTTTTTGTATTTTCCCGTGTATCAACATTTGAATGGAAATAAATAATAGCGAAATTGGACTCAAAAAGTTTGTTAATCTGAGCTTTCATCTAAAATAGATAGACAGACAGTCACGTGGAAGGGCAGAGGGACAGAAAGAGACAGACGAACTGAAAGAAAGAGAGCCTGATAAGCAGATAGACACATAGATGTGTAGATAGATAGATAGATAGATAGATAAACAGATAGATAGATAGATAGATAGATAGATAGATAGATAGATAGATAGATAGATAGATAGATAGATAGATAGATAGATAGATAGATAGATAGATAGATAGATAGATAGATAGATAGATAGATAGATAGATAGATAGATAGATAGATAGATAGATAGATAGATAGATAGATAGATAGATAGATAGATAGATAGATAGATAGATAGATAGATAGATAGATGATAGATTAGATAGATAGATAGATAGATAGATAGATAGATAGATAGATAGATAGATAGATAGATAGATAGATAGATAGATAGATAGATGATAGATAGATAGATAGATAGATAGATAGATAGATAGACAATATCCTGGTAATCCAGTATGGTTTAGAAATTTTAACTGAGATTTCGTCTGGAAATTGCGGTTAAGTGTATCATCCCTGTTAACCAAATAGAATTGGCTGCATTCCGGTAAGTATTTAAGCCCAAATAGTTTTATCAAGAGAGACTTCTCAATGGAGCTTCGGATTTTTAATTTGAATGGATGAAATGTCAGTTGTAAATTCTTCTATTATAAATTCTTCTATTGCCATCAGCCTACGAATGGCATCGAGCGAAGTATAATTCACATGTTGCGTGAACTTCCAAAGTGAGAAGTCATCTCTCGAGGAGTCAGTCAACCCGTGACAATATGATGACAACTGCGTGAGCGGTAGACAAAAGGAGATGTATTCTGTCTCACTGTGAGTTAACAAGACTGCTCATCAGCCGGTTGTTGTCATATAGTTTAGTTTTCATCCGCTATCCAGGAGATAGATGGGTCGAATTTCTCCGGTGAGATCTGCTAAAGAGCAATTTTTGACTTTTCAGCATAAACGGATCACTCAATTTAATACTCAATTTAATAATGGACAAATAGATTAATTTGCTGATTTACCGATTGGTTGATTGAGCGATTGTCAGATCGGTTAACGGACTGACCAGTTTAGTGAATAATCTACTGATTGATTAGTTGATTGACTGAATATATGAGTAATTTGTTGATTGGTAGATTGATTGATTGCTTTCGGAATAAATAGAGAGATCAGTTCAT